CCAGCAGCACTACCTCTCAGGGCTTAGCAGGGCAAGAGACACAAGCCAGAAACCCCTTTTTTTTTTTTTTTTCTTTCCTTTTTATGAAACCTTTAGTTTTAAAACCATTTTGAATCAGTAGAAGGAACGTTTAGAAAGACAAGTTCGCACTTTGTACTTTCGCAAAGCCCTGGTAATTCATGTCAGTTAGGTATTATCAGCCTGCAAATCCCAGCTCAGAGCACTCGCACCTCAACAAAACACTTCTTATTTCTGTCACGTGCAGATGTGTGGATAACATCTGAAAAATAGTGTTTCTCTAGCAGAAGTGCAAATGGAACAAAATATTTGACATTAGCCGAGCTCATATCAAGCTTCTGTTTGTTTCTTAGGATTTAGCTAGAAGTCTAAAAAAAGCCTTTTTGCTTTTTTCACCCCCTTCAAATCTCGGCGCTGCATAGCAGTCTGCATCCTGCAGGAATAGCACTGCCTGCTCAGGGCTGGCGCTGCCTTTGTCCTGTAATTGAATTGAACCAGCTCTTAGACCCCTTCCTCCCAGACAGCCCTATCATATGAGTGCACCGAAGATGTATTACACTAATACCTCGTCAGAACGACAGAGCTATGATGATACATTAATGCAATACATCTTTGTGTCTTTGGGGCTGTCCAGGAACGATAGGACTGGCGTTAGGCTCCACTCAGTCCTATCACACTCATGCACACATCCCAAGGGCAAGTGAAATGTGTGTGTGAAGCAGAAGGAGGCAGACATGAATACATTTCACCCTAACATCAGAGTAATTTCTAGGAAAGTGCAGATCTCCTCAATATTCATTAAAAAAACTGTTATTCTGTGTGTGCTGAACAGTTCTTCCTTTGGTTGGATGGTTGTTTTTGGGAGACACTTCAGTGCCACCTTTCTCTGGGAATGAGACTGAATGAACAGAGTACCCAAACCTACATTCCCAAACATGTGCATGTGTATGAAATGTTCATCCTCATATTTCAGAAAAAAAAATGGAAACTGGACTAGAAGTGATGGTGACAAAGCTGTGGGAAAGGGCAGGACAGTAGGGAAGGTTTGGAAAGGGTGGAACTGGAAGTCACCAGAGACCATAGACTGAGAATCATAAAGGCTGGAAAAGATCCCCAAGATCAAGTCCAATCATAAACCCATCACTACCATGCCCAGTAAACATGTCTCTTAATGGCACCTGAGTGGTGACTGCTCTCCCACTGGGACAGCAGTGTGAATTGGTGCCACTGGCCACCACAATAGGACAGAGGAAGAATCAACCAAGGGAGGTAACATCTACATCAGTGAGGAGAACTTAATTACTCACTGCATCTCACTGCCACTAGATTGTCTACAACCAGCTACTATCACAGAATCACAGAATGGCCAGGGTTGGAAGGGACCTCAAGGATGATGAAGCTCCAACCCATCGCCACAGGCAGGGCCACCAACCTCCATATCTAATAGCAGCCCAGGCTGCCCAGGGCCCCATCCAACCTGGCCTTGAACACCTCCAGGGATGGACAGGGCATCCACAGCCTCTCTGGGCAGCTGTTCCAGCACCTCACCGCTCTCAGAGCAAACAACTTCCCCCTGACATCCAACCAAAAACTTCCCTCCTTCAAGTTAAAACCATTTCTCCTTACTAAGATGCGTTTGAGGAATGTTAGGACAATTGAGGAACACTGAAAACATAAAACCAGAAGGAAGGAGGAAAGAGATGAAAGAGATGAAGAGGTATACATAAGTCCCACTGTCTCAGTATTCATATTTCTTCAGTGTTCTACAAGTTCTGCAGCTGATCCTGCGATAATCTGCCTTATAGTGGGTGGGACAAGGCAGGGGATGGGCTGCATACTGCAGTGGGAAGCCGGATGAGACTGTTGCATATGATCAAGAAGGGGTAGTCAACACTGTCATAGAACTACGCAGAAGAAGGAGGTTCCTATACTCAGTCACTCCTTTTGCCCACAGCTCTGAAACTCGCTAGCAAAACGTACACTACCACATCCACTTGCACTGAGCTGCTGCTCTGTCCCTGCGCTGCAGGCAGGGGTGGCCGTTGTACAGTGCAGTGCTGGGTCCCGCAGTGCTGTGCACAGCCAACAGTGCTTATCAGTGCTGGCTCACACGCAACCCAGCCGGGGTTACGGTGTTTGTCTGAGATGTGTGCAGCCTCATCTAAAGCCACTTGTGCTAAGTACGACTGTGAAGCTGAGCACTCCAAGCAAAGCTGAAGGTGAAGCTGCTCCTGCAGTTACAGATGCTGCTCTCCGTATGTGTACACAATGCCAATGTGCCGAGGCCCTGCACACTGCAGCCCAGCACAGGCTGAGCAGGGGAACGGCTCTGCTTCTCTAAAGCACGTAACCTGCTTTGCATTTAGACAAACCCTGGGTTTCCCCGTCTCCCCAGCAGCCACAAAGCATGCGGCAGTGCAGTGCTGGAGCGCAGGGTGAGCTGCGTCAGGAACCTCCCCATGGAAGGTCTGGCCAGGAGCAAGGTGGGAGGAAGCTTCCATGCATGTGTATGGCACCAGAATTGTGCACAGCACTAACATCTCCTGTCTTCGGAATGGCTTTTGTTGTTACTGCTGGTGGCAGAGTTGCTTTTCAAAAATGGAACTGTACCAGCATGCTGCGCAAACAAGTGTGAAGAGCTGGAATTATGTTTCTAGCAGACCTTAATTCTTTAAAATTCTGGTTTCGTTCTTAAACTATTGATGCTGCACTTTGCTCCTAAATGTCAGAACAAAATAAGTAATACCTGCAATTTATTCCGATGACATTTCAACAATACCAGATTTTCAGATTACAAACTGCGGCGCCGCGTTCCTTACGGTGCTGTGCTGAATGTGTAGATTTGGTGGATTTACATAATGGTTTTGCATAATGAATATTTATATAATGAATGCATTTCCATAATGACTGCAAGTTAAACATGCACTGTAAAGATTACAGGGCAATAATTTATGTACTAAGTTAAAAATCACCTCTAAATACATTTATTTTTATTCCTCCAAAAGGTTCATTTTATCTCTTGTTCGAAAAAATGGAATCTGACCCTATCTGAGTAAAGGCTGCATCGATGCAAATCACGATAATATTTTGGCATCAGTCTACATTGAATCATTTGTATTCCGAGTTTTCCATTTCTTATCTTCCAGCAGCAGCTTTGACAAACAATTTCAGAATATTACAAATACAATTCTTTAATATAATTTAGCGTTGTGTTCTAGATGCGACACTTGTGTGTAATCCTCATTAGTGCCACCGGGAATTATGGAGGGAAACTGATAGAAATTACAAAGTGCAGATGAAGCTCACGTGCAGATAAAGGTAATTTGCTGCAGGCATAATACGAGCCCATATAGGAACCTGGCGTTCTCAGCTCTCCTGCATTTAATTGGATTTCAGTGCTGTCTATGGCTGTCGGTAGAGCAGGGCATGCAGCTGAGGCCAGGAACAGCATGGTGTGACTGAAACACTTGCAGCATGGACAGACTCTGCTCACTGCACGCCTGCTCCCAGTAGCACATTGGAAGCCATGGGCTGATGTGCAGCTGCAGAGCAACGAGGAGCAAAGCTGTGCGAGTGGGCAGCAAACCTCATATGGCCTCGATGCCATCCTGGAGGGATGGCACACACACCAACGATGTGTTCCTGCCCAAAGGGACCCAGAGCTGGCCTCTCAGCCATCAGCAGCCGTCCAGTACACAGCTCACAGCTCTCCTCTCCTCCCCTGCCCTTGTGCCAACACACAAACACAGTGGGCTCACTGAGAGCCCTGTTCTCCAGCTCTGCCTGGACTCAAGTGAGGGGTCCTGCTCATCAGTCTGGGTGAACTCATTCTCCTCTTCTGCTATTTTCCTCTATAGGACAATTTCAGCAGCTCCTTTCTGTAAAAACCCTAATGCTTTATGCTATTACTCTAAAGTATCACTGCAGTTTCCAATAAAATTTTATTTGACATTTAGTTAAAATCCATTTTTTGCTGCAGCTGATTTTTCCCTTGTCCCCCAATGGATACTTCCAGCAGAACTCACTGTCATTGTCTTAAAGGTCAGAAGTTAGGGTTTTTTCTGACTCTCGCTTCGAACAGGAAATGCTGTTGGACGATGACAGCCTGCAGAAAGCAGCAGCCCATGGAGCCGGCCTTCCCTGCAGCACACGGCTGTCAGAGAGCTTCTGTGAGCAAAGGGCCCCTCATACAGAGCTGCTCCACAGAAACTGGCACAGCAATGGGGATCCCCCAGGGCGGGCTGCAGATTGTAAGGCTGAATGGGAGGGAAATCTCCTCGAGTCTATGCTATGATGTGTTTTAGCTTTCACTTCTACAGAGCCCTTGGACTGGCTTTAGTGTGAGCTGATCATATCATAGAATCATAGGATGGCCTGGGTTGCAAAGGAGCACACTGCTCATCCAGTTCCAACCCCCTGCTGTGTGCAGGTCACCAACCAGCAGCCCAGGCTGCCCAGAGCCACATCCAGCCTGGCCTTGAATGCCTGCAGGGATGGGGCATCCACAGCCTCCTTGGGCAACCTGTTCCAGTGCCTCACCACCCCCTGGCTGAAAAACTTCCTCCTAATATCCAACCTAAACCTCCCCTGTCTCAGCTTAAAACCATTCCCTTTGTCCTATCCCTATCCACCCTTATAAGCAGTCACTGCCCCTGCAGCCTGTTAAAAAGAACTCCTGCTCAGATGAGCTTCGGCTCTTCAGGCTGAGACAGCCACTACCTTGTCCTGTACCCCTGGGGAGCCACCCATGCCCCAGTGAAAAGCATATCCTCTTTCAGGTGCCTTTTTTTGTCCCTTCCCATGTTACAGCTGCATTTTGGCTTTCACTCTTGTGAGCTTAAATCTGATGACGCTTTCCTTTTCCACACATCTGGTCAGACAGACGTCCTGGATGGCATGCAAAAGCACTGCTGTCCCACCTCGGAAAGCTGTTACTGCTGGAAGTCAGCAGGAAGCTCCCAGCGACAGCTCCGGGCACTTACCAGATGGAGAGATGTGTCTCCAGGAAATGGAGGGCTCTGGTTTCCCGGTGGCCAGACACACCAGAGTAACATTGCTGCCTTCGTTCACAACGATGTCACTCGAAATACGAAATATCTTCGGAGAAACTGAAAGGAAAGCAGGAGAGGTTGTAAGGGAATGCCATCGAGTCAGTGCCACCGAGACTGTGCTGCCATCAGAGCGGAGGCTGAGCAGGCTGTGTCTGTGCATTGCCATGGCCACAGAACCACACAAACCTGCTGGGAGATCACAGTGCAGAAAGAAACAACACCAGCCTTGTGAAGGTGTGACCACAGCCATTTCAATCACGTCTGCAGCACAGCCTGGGGACTTGAAATATTGCAAATAGGAAAGCAGCAGTCTCCTCTGTTTTGTACAGAACAGGGATTGCTATGAGACCTCAGTAAAGTGCTGCTGACGGATGGATGCTCCCATTTGGGATAGGGCTGAGCTTACTAGTGACAGCTTGGAAAGAAAATGTAATTAAACTTTTCTTGTACTATAAAAAACAATGGTGTTTACATCCATGTATACATAGGGAGTCATATCTGTTCAACAAGGAGACCAAAACAAACACATTTGTTTCTATTGTGTTTCTTCCAGGTCTGTGGTATTTCATAAAGAAAGATTTCTTCCCTAAACCCCACTATTCGTCCTTCTGGTCTGTTGCCTATCGTAGGCGTGGCGACCTGGTTCGGGAACGGCACGGCGACCAATCCCAGGTCGCTCGGTCCATCGGCTCGCGGACACCAATGTGGTGGACGGCAAATGGCGTTTATTGGCGGGAGAAACAGCCTTATATAACCTGGGCACTGAACGCTATTGGCTATCGGGAGGGGGACCCTGTCTTCCCGTACAACGCGATATCTTCCGGGCGCCAGACCCTCACTACAACACTGGTCATAAGGCAGAGCCCCACGTGGAGCAAAAATAGCACAGAGCTGTAGGGAGCCTGCAGTACCAGAGAAATGAGAAAAGAAAGAGGTGTTCCAGAGCTGTGGGGCACTGAGGGACATGGGCAGTGGGCATGGGGAGGGCTGGGAGTATTGCAGGGCTTTCTCAACCTCAGTAATTCCATGGTTCTGTGCTTTTATGTGTCTACGTTCGGTGCTTTGGGATCCCCACCTGCAGGTGTTCTCCAACCCTTTCATGGGTCCATTGAAGATAGTGCATCAGAATGAGTCGGGGGCAGAAAACTTCAAGGAAGGTGGAAATTCCCTGTGCTTGCCCATGGCTACGCGTTTGTGAGCAAAGAAAATTAAAAGTCTGTGCAGCGGATTGTTAATTAGCAAAGAAATGTTGTCCACAGGGAGTCCAAAGGTCTGGGAAAGGCCTTTCCCACTTCCTATGAGAGTGAAGGTCGGTGCTGCTATCCTTTGAAGTTCAAACGGGTCTACACACAGCCACTGAAACAGCAGAAGCCGCCTGAGCTCAGCAGTCCCTTCCTCCTACCCACTTGGTGCCCAGGGAAAGCACACAGTCCTCACACAGCAGAGCTGAACCATACACCAGAGTTACCTCCAGGCACTGACAGCTCACTGATCAGAGTTCACCCCACAGGGAACCGCTGCCCAACCCCGCTTTGCAGAGCCTGGTGCTGCAGGGCCGGGGCACACAGCCCTGTGCTCTGAGCAGCCCCTGCCCTGAGCAGCAGCTCCGTGCGCTGAGCACACAGCAGGAGGGATGGATCTGCTTCCCAGATGCCCTGAGCCTCATCCCAGCTGAGACGCAGAAATCCTTTGGAGAGAAGAATATCACAAGCAGTGCAGCAAATACTGGGGCTTTATCCAGCCTACAGTATTTGAAAAATATCCTCCTAAGCCTGAGCCACGTATTTCTTATTCCTTCAGAAAAAAACATACTTGTGGGAAGTTATGAGAAGGAATTCAGTAACTCAGCACAGCCCTTCTCACAACTGAATACATACAAGTGGTGTCTATCTGGAATTGTGGGAATGTCTTCCAGATACAATAGATATTACAGCCTGAGATTTCCAACAGTTTCTTATTCCAGGTTCTGCACCCTTGATGGTAGAAAAAATAGGGATTGGCTCCTGCTTTGGCAGTGCTGTAAGTGGGTTTTCACATAGCTGCTACACAGTGCTGTTTACCCCAGTAAGTTATTTGCTGTAAATGGTCACCACACAGAGAGGCCCTGGCTGGAACATCCCTGCTGCCCCCGTGGCACCCATGTGCCCACAGACACCGCAGTCCCCTGGTGCTCAGCCTATGTCGGGCTCAGGGTCAGACCAGACCTCACGTCTGTTGCCAGAGTGGATGCATGAGCCTCCCACTCACTGCTCAGTGCACTGAGCTGAGGCCGATGGGTAAAAACCTCTTAGAAGTACAGTAATGTGAATTTCAGGTGTGCTCGATTGCCATCCTTTGGCATAACGCCGAGGCAGAAGAGCCGGCTCATATCAGCTCTCGTAATCAAACTTCCAAAAGGACAGGTTTCCAAAGAGAACACACTGCCAGCACTGCCATCGGCAGGAACCTCGCATTGAAACAACAGGGCTTCATTCAGCTCGCACTGATGAGCATCTCCTTTCCAAGGCAAAGATCAGCACGGTCTGCTCTTTCCACTGCTGCTCATCCAAGCACTGCCTTCCTCTGCCCCTGCCCTTGCACGAGGCTCTGAGCGCTGCTTCTCACCCAGCGCCTCCCAGCTGTGCTCACACGAAGCTCAGAACACAGCCCTGTTGTCTGGGGGTGGCCACGGCTGAGCGCCGCTGTCGCCTTCTTTGTTGGAGGTTTTGCTGCTTTGTTCACATCCCAAATCCACACCGTTTTGCGAAGTGCTTTAATTTTAACAAAACCATGTGTTCCAATGGCCAATAATCAGAAAAGCTTTTCCCATCAATGTGACGTGCAAGCTGCGGTTATGGACATGTGTGTGCTGGGACTGAAATGCTGCAGGGCTGGGGAGCACTTGGCCAGAGGGGCAGCTCGGGGCCATTGGCCTCAGCTCAGCCATTCCCAGCACCAGCAGCTTCCCAGGAGTTGGCTGGAAGGCTGTGCTGCAGAACTCTGTGCTTATCCTGGCAGTTCCAGGTGATGCTCACACTGCCACTCCAGGGAAGCGCTTCCAGCAATTAAATACCCCTCACTGCTGGGAAATAGCATCTTTCTTCAAAATTGCATTTCACTAAATTCAGCTTTCAGAAATCAGATCTTATTATGTTTTTGTCTGCAAGACTGAACATTCCCCTTACTATCAAGTATCTTTTCTATGACTAAGGACCCATAAAACATGATAAATCACCTCTTCATTTTTCTCTGCAGATGATTTAAGCACCACAAGCTTAATTTTCGTTAGGCTTGATAGATAATATTTGTTTCTCTCTTTTGAGGACTGTCTGAATCATCCTGACACGTGAACAGTGGAACACAGCGTAACGGTCTATTGAGAGCCTTAGCGGTGCTGAAGAAGCACACTGTGCTATCTCTGCTCTATTTCCTCTTTCTCAGTGCTGCTGTCCTCGTCCAAACTACCATTCCTTCCATCCCCATCATGTGGGCTATCGTCCCTGCCATCCCCGCTAGCTCCATCATCCTTACCACCCCTATGACCCCTACCATCCCCACCATCCGTGCTATTGTCCTTGCCATCCCTAACATCTACATCATCCCTACTACCCTCACCACCCAGGTTATTGTCCCTACTACCTTCATCATCCCTGCCTTCCCGACCACCCCCATCATCCTCACCATCCAGGCTACTGTCCCTGCCATCCCTGCCATCCCTGCCATCCCTATCACCACTGCCCCATCACCCTCCTGTTCTGGCCCTTGGCAGCACTGGTGGGGGACAGCAGGTCTAGGGGGATGCAGGTGGCTTTGCTGGATGTGGGGTCTTCTTGCACTCTCCTGCATTGTTAAAAACTTATGTGTGATTAGAAATGACCCAAGTGTTGAATTATTATTCCTAAATTATTTATAAATGTCTAAATTGTTTAGGAATGACGAAGTATCCCGAGGCTCCTGCTGGCCCCATTGCACATCAGTGTGTTCCTCCCTCCTGAGCACTCCCATAGGAATCTCTGCTCCCCGCACACCATGCAGACACGTGGGGTGCCTGGAGCAGCAGCAGGCAGAGGGGGCTCTCCGGCCACAGACTACAAGCATGTTTGAGCTCATAGTTCTCCCCAGAGCCCAGAGTTATACGAGCCATTACTGCGCAGGGGACTGACAGCGAGTCTGTACTTCACTGTTCCTCATTTCTCATTTTCAAGGACTGAAATTATATTCTCAGTTACATTCAAGTGCACATAAATGATGCCACGTAATAAAGCTTACTGCTGTCATGGGAATGACTGTAGGACTGAACTGCTCCTGTAGATGCTGCTGCTTTTTGAACGTGGGAGAGGATGACTTATCTCCATCACAATTTAGAGTCATCAAGCAAATAACCTGGAGTCAAAGCAGTGCATCCAGCCTGTCTGCTGCAGCGTGTGCTGCCATGCTGCTCTCTGCTGGAACGTCCCGGCAGCTCCCAGTGCCTGCATGTCTGCATGGGGCTGCAGCTGCACCCAGCTGGGAGCCCTGCTGCTTTGGGAAGCATCCCTGGGAAGGATGATGACAAGCCCTAGCATACATTGGTTTAGTGATGTTTGTTAAATTGAGGCCATCGACTCCATTTTGAGATTATAATGTAGTAATTCCTCTCATATACAGAATATTGACAATTCCAGTAGAATATATAAAAACTATGAGAAGAATTTGGTTATAAGCATAGAAGTGTCACATGTGGGAGTTGGGAAGAGGGATTTTGCCACCGGAATTTGAGGAGTCCCCACAATCCCCAGTACCCCAAAGTCCTTCAGCCAAACGCTGGCTGCACACCCGACCTCTCTATCAGTAGTGAAGTTATTACCATTTTTGCTGGTAATAACTTCATAATTTAGCAATAATACAGCAGGGGGAGGGAAGATGCTGCTCTCAGCAGCTCAGTGGCCGGAATTAATTCATTGACTGCTCCATCTGTGCAAACACCGATGGCTGTGGGCAGGCAACCAGCAGTGGCACAGGGGTGTGCAAAACCTCCACTCACTGCATTCCGGGTTGTTCCGTGCCACACTCTGCAGCACTGTGATGGAGGGCAGCAG